GAAACTGCATTCTAGTTGTGGAAGTAAATATTCAGACTCCTGAATAAATAATAGTATGAGTCCTTGGCAGAAGGGTAAACCAGCACAACTAGTTATGCCTGGCACAGGCTGATTGGCAAGGTCTCTGGCATTGAAGTAGCAATGGCACAGGCTTAGAAAGAGAAGTATCATAGGAAGAAGGCTTGGAAATGAGTGTTTAGATAGAGAGAGGGGCCAAAGGAAGGAGCAAGGCCAAAGGTGTGTGGTGTAGTCAGAGACTACGAGCCAAGTTTACAAAGACTAAGAGTTGACTTCTGAGATATAGCCTGTTAGTGAGATGCAAAGGGTGTGTTCTTGAAGGAATAAGAATGTGAACAAGAATAGGACAGATGGATAAATAAGCGCTCCAAACACACTTGAAACTTGGTTGAAACCATCTGAAGAGAGTTTTTTAGTAACAGAATCAGCAAGCACTGGTACCCAGCTTGGCTATTGAGCTTTTTCTTTCATATCCTTCATTTCTACATCCTCAGCAAGTGGCCTTTGTCCCTGAACCATTGTCCCAATTGGGCTGCGGTGGCATTTCATGATTCTGTGTGGTTTGTGCCCTGGAATTCCTGCCTCTTCTCAAGCAGTTAATGGCTATCATGAGCCTTGTTCTATGCCAGTGTAGAGACATTGTGCAAAGCAAACCCAAACTAAGAAGGCAAGTTCTATTTCCTGAGTGATGACAAAATACTAACTGAGGATTCAGGCTCTCTTTTGGCAGTAACTCCTTGTTGTCACTGGATCAGGAAGAAGGCCTTCAAAACCAAGGAGGTGTGAGGAGGTATTTTGGCCCACCTGTCCCAGGAGTGCAGTTCACTATGAGGTGTGGTGGTTCTGCTCTTCTCATTTGTCTCTCTAGCCACAGTTGCCTGTGTCATATAGGTCATTCTTGTATATGTAGACTAGGTGATCATTATGTAGACAGATTCATTTGGAATGCTAAGAAAGAACCTCACCTCAATAGGGCATTTTCCTAGCACAAAAAGATTTAGCCGTTCTTTAGGATAGAAATCTTGATTCAAATGGCATACTTATTTATTTCTTATTATGATGAATCCACCTTGAATAGAACTTTTTTATTCTGTTTGAAATATACGTATACCTATATGCATATTTATATGTATATATACATACACACCTATGCATATGTATGCACATATAGACATATAGATACACATATGTATGTATACCTATATATAGACATATGTATACACACATACATTTAGCCAATCAACTTATGTACAGCCCTTCTTATATCCAGACATTATCCACAGTTAAAAACTCAGGTAGATAAGGTCCCCAATAAGACCTTCAATGAGCCTATGCTCTTCTTTGTGATATGAAATGCAAAATGAGAAATATTGAAACTTTTAGTAAATGCCATGACAGAACTCTGGGGGTTTTTTTTTGTTTTTTTTTTGTTTTTGTTTGTTTTGTTTTATTTTGTTTTTGGTCATTGGGCCTGAACTCTGGGCCTGGGCGCTGTCCCTCAGCTCTTCAGTTCAAGGCTAGCACTCTACCACTTGAGCCACAGCTCCACTTCCAGCTTTTTCTGCTTATGTGGTGCTGAGGAATCAAACCCAGAGGCTCATGCATGCAAGGCAATCACTGTACCACTGAGCCACCTTCCCAGCCCCAGAACTCTGTTTTGTTATTCTGAGAGCCCCAAAGAGGATATAGGTCATCTGAACCTGGAAAGCAGGAAGTAGGGAAAGAAGTGATAACCTTATGGGAGGAGTTGACCAACAGAGGGAGAGGGGAAAAAAAAAAAAGAGTATTGAGGTTGTGGGAACAAAGGCACCAAACTGAAAAGTAATCCTTTTGGTGTTTGCTTATTCTTATTAGCATTTATTTGTTGTATCTTGTGCCCAATAATTTGATGTGTTTATGGAGGTAGAATCCATGTGCTGAGACCTAAGCGTGGAAGTAAGGGCTAGAGACACAAACAAATATACCACAGAGCAGCTTTATGGGATTTTGCCCTTGGGTGCAGAAGGTGGGAAGAGGAAAGCTTTGTGTTTAGGGAGAACAGAATGTGGAGAGGATTGGGGCAAGAGAGTGAGTATCAGAATCTGAAAGGGGCTCCATCAGGCTGATAGACAGAATCTGAAAAAGCCTGCTCTGGAAGAGGAAGCGGTTTGATCTTTAGGGTACACACTTGACATGGATAAAGGGGGTCACATAATCAGCCATCCATTTTACAGAGATCACACCAGCGGGAATGTAGCAGTGATTAGAAGAGTGAGGCCCAGAGAAAGGCAGGAACACGGGTTGGAAGGTCAGTAACCCAATTCTGTTAAGCAATCATGATGGCCTGGACATGGAGGTGGAAAAATGTACAAGGTGGGCCACCATTCCAAATTGCTTTTCCTCCTTCCTTCCTTCCTTCCTTCCTCCTTCCTTCCTTCCTTCCTTCCTTCCTTCCTTCCTTCCTTCCTTCCTTCCTTCCTTCCTTCCTCCTTCTTCCTTCCTTCCTTCCTTCCTTCCTTTCTTTCTTTCTTTCTGTCCTTCCCTCCTTCCTTCCCTCCTTCCTTCCTTCCTTCCTTTCCTTCTTCCTTCCTTTCTTTCTTTCTTTCTGTCCTTCCCTCCTTCCTTCCCTCCTTCCTTCCTTCCTTCCTTTCCTTCTTCCTTCCTTCCTTCCTTCCCTTCTTTCTTTCTTTCTTTCTTTCTTTCCTTCTCCCTTCCTTCCTTCCTTCCTTTCTTTCTTTCTTTCTTTCTTTCCTTCTTCCTTCCTTCCTTCCTTCCTTCCTTCCTTCCTTCCTTCCTTCCTTCCTTTCTTTCTTTCTTTCTTTCTTTCTTTCTTTCTTTCTTTCTTTCTTTCTTTCTTTCTGTCCTTCCCTCCTTCCTTCCCTCCTTCCTTTCCTTCTTTCCTTCTTTCTTTCTTTCTTTCTTCCTCTCTTTCTCTCTTTCTCTCACTCTTTTAAAAGACACAACGTGTGCATTTGAAAATCTTTTCTTTCACTCTGTGTCCTGTGTCTACCACATAAGTCCTAACTATATTTACATAAACATAATTCCCCTAAGAAAGCCTCCTTCAACCCTTAGACTGGTTACTGCACAGCAACTTTGCCCTTCCCAGGTGGAACTCATACACATACTAGGTGGCGTACTTCCTGTGAGCAATGAGTTCTTCTATCATGCAGCTCAGACACTAGTGTCTGATAAAGTACCTGGTGGACAGTGTGTAGTCCATAATTTATTGAAAGGGTCACACAGGAATAAATGAATTGTTGATTCAAACAGTAGAAGACCTCAAATATATCCCACGAGAGTGGTTCTCCCTTCTATCCCCAAATAGTATTATATATAAAAACAACAAATGACAACTAGTAAAATATTGGAGTTTACTTTAGTCGTGAGAGCTATCACTCTGAACTTAGATTTCTTGTAAACTAAAGAAATAAATAGCCACCTGTTAAGCATTTATATGGCTCTTAAAATTTGGTCCCCTCTTCCTAATATCATCCTTGTGTTCAGTGCCATCATTGAGAGCCTGGGTGCCAGGCCTTGACATGCTTGTCATCACAGCACTTGAGGCAGATGCTGTCTGAAGCACCCTCCATTACCATCTTCCCTGATACCAAAGACCTTGGCCTTCCCTAATCCTTAGTGCCAGTTTGGCATTTTCTGATGATTTTTTTTCTTGGTTGGCCTTGACTTTTTAGAAGTTCAGCTCAGCCACAGAGGGTCTGTGGATGAGGAACAGGAGCAAATCTCTCCATAGTTTCCACTTGTCCTTAGTTTTTTTTTTTCTTGTAATATTTTTTTAATTGTGAAAATACCGTACAGGGGGATTACAATTACATGGGCAAGGTAATGAGTACATTTCTTTTGTTTTAATTTTTTTATTGTGAAAATACTGTACAGAGAGGTTACAATTACATGGGCAAGATGAGTACATTTCTTATCAAGCATTGTAGCCTCCTCCTTTGTTTCCCCTTCCCATCCTTTCCCATCTCCCCTGCCTCCCCCCCACCCTCCCTCTCCTCCTCCCCTGCCAAAGTTGTAAAGTTCGTTTTTCGACATAACGTCTTGTACATCTCATTGTTGCAATGGGTCCACCTGTATCCCTACTTAAACAATTTGTTTTTTCCCTTCCCCTCTGCGAATTATACCAACATCAAATACAGTGAAAACAGGGATGAATGGGTCAAGAAAATGTATATATACACAATGGAATTCTATGCCTCCATCAGAAAGAATGACATTGCTCCATTTGTTAGGAAATGAAAAGATTGGAAAAATTATATTAAGAGAAGTAAGCCAGGCCCAAAGAAACATAGGTCCCATGGTTTCCCTTATTTGCAATAACTAGTATATGTCTGAGACAAGCAGAAATGATCAGATGAGTTGATGTTAGGCAAAATGAACCCCAAAATAAGGACTCAAATGTTTTTTCTTTCTTGCGATTGTTTCTAACATATTTATAAGATGATTTCTCTGTTGCTTTATATGTCCCTCCCCCACGATATAACCCCTGTTTTCACTGTCCTTAGTTCTTGTCTTTCTTCTCTACACTGTCCCGTGTCCCATACATTTTGTCTTACCTGTCTAACAAGGTGTCTTCTGGAGTAGGGATTATGTGCTCTCTGCAGCCACATCAGCACAGGATGCTGGGTGGGTGATAGTAGAGGCTGAGAGGCAAACTCTTGCTCGGAAATGCACATCTCACCCAAGAGACATTGCGTGTGATTTGGCCTATATGACCCTGTGTGTCTATTCAGGACTCACACAGTGACTTCAATCCAGAGAGCATAAGTAACAAGAGTGATGGGTCTAGTGTAGGCTTTTCCATTGCCTGGTAGTAAGGGAGGGGCTCTCATTGTGTTGACTGAGTACACAAAGGCTTGAACCATGCTCAGAAACAGAAAAGAAACTGCCTGATAGCACATGCGTGTGATGGCCACAGTGCTTCTGCTTACTGTTGTCCTGGTTTGCTCACCATTCAGCTTCTCTGTTTTCCCTCCCGGTAGGCTTCCCTCCTGCGGTCTCTTTCTCAGTCCTGTTGAGTCTGGCCTAATCAAAGACTGAGGTTATGAAGTCGATCCTAGATGGCCTTGCAGACACCACCTTCCGCACCATCACCACAGACCTCCTGTACGTGGGCTCGAATGACATCCAGTACGAAGACATCAAAGGCGACATGGCATCCAAATTAGGGTACTTCCCGCAGAAATTCCCCCTGACCTCCTTCAGGGGCAGTCCCTTCCAAGAAAAGATGACTGCAGGAGACAGTCCCCAGTTGGTCTCAGACCCAGCCAACCTTACAGAATTCTTCAACAAGTCCCTGTCGTCCTACAAGGAGAATGACGAGAACATCCAGTGTGGGGAGAACTTCATGGACATGGAGTGCTTCATGATCCTCAACCCCAGTCAGCAGCTGGCCATCGCTGTACTGTCCCTCACACTGGGCACCTTCACTGTTCTGGAGAACCTGCTCGTGCTGTGTGTCATCCTCCACTCCCGCAGCCTCCGCTGCAGGCCTTCCTACCACTTCATCGGCAGCCTGGCCGTGGCAGACCTGCTGGGGAGTGTCATATTTGTCTACAGCTTCGTTGACTTCCACGTGTTCCACCGCAAAGACAGCCCCAACGTGTTTCTGTTCAAACTGGGTGGGGTCACGGCCTCCTTCACCGCCTCTGTAGGCAGCCTGTTCCTCACCGCCATCGACAGGTACATCTCCATTCACAGGCCACTGGCCTATAAAAGGATTGTCACCAGGCCCAAGGCTGTGGTGGCTTTCTGCCTGATGTGGACCATCGCTATTGTGATTGCCGTGCTGCCTCTCCTGGGCTGGAACTGTAAGAAGCTGAAATCTGTGTGCTCAGACATTTTCCCGCTCATTGACGAAACCTACCTGATGTTCTGGATTGGGGTCACCAGTGTACTGCTGCTGTTCATCGTGTATGCGTACATGTACATCCTCTGGAAGGCTCACAGCCACGCAGTCCGCATGATTCAGCGTGGAACCCAGAAGAGCATTATAATCCACACATCAGAGGATGGCAAGGTACAGGTGACCCGGCCGGACCAGGCCCGCATGGACATTAGGCTGGCCAAGACCCTCGTCCTGATCCTGGTAGTTTTGATCATCTGCTGGGGCCCTCTGCTTGCGATCATGGTGTACGACGTCTTCGGGAAGATGAACAAGCTCATTAAGACGGTATTTGCCTTCTGCAGCATGCTCTGCCTGCTGAACTCCACCGTGAATCCTATCATCTACGCTCTGAGAAGCAAGGACCTGAGACACGCCTTCCGGAGCATGTTCCCCTCCTGTGAAGGCACCGCACAGCCCCTGGACAACAGCATGGGGGACTCGGACTGCCTGCACAAGCATGCCAACAACACGGCCAACGTCCACAGGGCTGCGGAAAGCTGCATCAAAAGCACGGTCAAGATCGCCAAGGTGACCATGTCTGTGTCCACAGACACCTCTGCCGAGGCTCTGTGAGCCCAAGGCCTCGCTGGCAGCACTGGAAAAGAAATTTCTGTCTCTCTTTCCCTCTTTCCCTTGTCACCCCCTCTCTAGTCTCTATTTCTCTCTACTTCTCTCTCTCTCTCTCTCTCTCTCTCTCTCTCTCTCTCTCTCTCTCTCTCTCTCTCTCTCTCTCCCCCCCCCCTCTCTCTCTCTCTCTCTCTGTCTCAGCTCAAAATCTAGAAGAGTGTGTTGTCTCATCGGTTATATTTTTTAAGTTTACCATGCTCAGTGAAAAAGTGACAGTCACCATGCTCATTGGTCAGTCTACTGACCTTTCAATAGTTTAGGTTCTCCAACTCTGTACTCCAGGGGTTTAACAGTAACGAAAGCTTGTTGCTTCTGCGTGTGCCATCCCTCAAAGTCTTAGTTTAATAAGAAGGAAACCTTTGGCTACACAATTTAGAGTCTAAGTACCCATAGAAAAATGCTATCAAGTGAGTAATGCCTTGGTAACCACAACTTTCATTGCTATGTGTCCGTCTAGTATCAGAGATGTCCATTTTTACAATAGCGATAGAACTAATGTAGAGCTATTTTGTAAGATGTGTTGTGTCCTGTGAGTTGTGTATCCGTGTTTACTCTGTGTTATTTCTGTCTAGTTTTAACCAAACCAAAAGGGAGACTTTGCTGTGAAAACTGGAGCACAGCAACGAGTATGTGCCAGTGAGACAATTTTGGATAAAACACTATTTGCCCAGGAGAGAACTTTAGAAACCTTTGTAGTTCTTGAGATATCTCTATTTAAAATTGACACTGAAGGAACCATGGTGTTTTATTTATTTTTTTTCTGTGAACACAAGAAGAATTTGAAGATGATATAAAGTCCTGAACTGAGTTCACTGACACTTCAAAAGTTGCTAGTCCTGTGTTTTCATGAGAGGACATTATTATCTTCTAGACTATAGCTGTTCTGTGAGGGTAATAGATTATAATTAGAAAGGAAGGAAAAAAACATATTGACTTTTTAGACTGACATCTCTGACTTTCCTTAGTTGTTAGCTATTCCTGAACCTCTTAAGACAGCATGTGTCAGTCTTCATGTATATTGTTTTCACTGTGCAGTTGCTGTTTACTTGAAGAGTATTGCATTCCTATATTCCAGGCTATAAGTAGATTTCATGCCTGGGTGGCCAAACAACAGTCTTCATTCTGTTCTTAATTGCGAAGACATATTGTCTGGATCAGTAAAATTGTACTTTGTGTGAATGTGACTGTAAATGTGTGTATGTGTGTGTTTCTATCTTGTAACTGTTGCAGCAGTGTCATAAAGTGAAAAAACTGTGACCAAGTGTAAACTCTACCACTTGCTTAACTCTTGTACATGAATTCAGTTTTGAAAGTTGAGTTCTTCCAGAAATCTTGTTGAATAACAATTCTGACTATAGCCATTCAGACAATCTATTTCCCTAAGAGATCGGGTCAAGGATTACTAAGGACTTTAAGTATTACAGAAGACCAGTGTTTACCAAGGAATCACCAGTGGCAGGAATTCCAGTAAAGGTTGATATTTCCAGTGTCACGGTAGGGATATGAGAGTGCGTGGGTTTCTCAGAACCTAATATTGATCAAGTTCATGGAGATATAAATTAAAAGGAACATAGATCTAAAAGCTCAGTACAGAAGCCGTCTTCAATTGTGCATGCAGGTAGTTTGAATCCCAATTTAAGTAGCACTATACACATCATGTTAAAGTAGGACTACCAGATCGTGGCCATGTGGCTAATGAGGCTGAATCAGACAGTGAGTGAGACAGAAAAGGGCAGGGAAGAGCAGCACACTTGGGATTGAGGCCTGGGTAACATATGCTGCTTCTGTGCTTTTCCCGGATGTCTCTGGTGACAGCCCAGCACCCAGCTTTGTCTACATGAGATGGGGATAGGAATACGTTTCTCCTCTGCTCACTTAGCAAGATATATCAAAGCATAAAGATGAGCATGGCGGAAGTGGCACTGTGGCTCAAGCAGTAGAGCACTCGCCTTGAGCTGAAGAGCTGAGGGACAGTGCCCAAGCCCAGAGTTCAAGTCCCACGACTGACAAAAAAACAAAGATGAGCATGGCATTGCTTGATTGCTTTTGATGCTCCAGCCTCATATTCCTTGGGGCATGAATACTCACAATTGGATCCCTTTTCCAACAATGAAAGAAACCATGTAAAAAGCCACTTGACCCTGACAAATTTTGCTTACAAACAGCCAGTCTCTACTTCTTACACAGGTAGAGCATGACTCTGGCTGGGCTCTGGGGCCTGAGTGGCAGGAAGTGAAATGGAAAAAAATCTACTTGGTGATTTCTACCTATCCCAGTATCCAGCCTGCTAGGGTGGTGCCCTTCTTGAGGTTGATGGCCAAGGTAGATAGTGACTTGTGGGTCAATCTGGAGTCTGCCTGCAGATTCTCTCACTTTACCTCTTGTGAAATGCAGATGAGGGCTTAGGGTGCTGCTGGAAGAGTAATATAATTGCCATGAAAGGGGAGACTGCATCAACTAAATCCTATCCAGGGTCTAGTCTCCATGTTTAGACTTGCCAGTCTTTGGTCCTGCATCATCCTGAATCTTAATCCACATCTCTGAGCTCACCAGGCAGTACCAACTCTCTTCTCACAGCTGTGAAGACTTGTTGAAGAGGAAATTCTTATTAGAGATATAAAAATAATTCCAAGATTCCTTTTTGAAACTGTATTTGTGTGAATGCCATGTAGATTTTCTAGTGCATTGTGCTTTCAAACTTAAATCACATATAATAAATTAAGGGACAATGGGGCTGACAGCACTAAACATGGTGCTTATTGATATTCTAAGAAATATCTGTGAAATATCATCATGTATATGTTATACGACCTTCATTTAAAAACATTAAAATTACTTGGATTCATTTTGACATTTCTCATATCATTTCCTAACCCGAGTGACTAAAGTGGCCTCCCCAATGAATATCCTCATTAGAATTACTGTTCATTAGTATCATTCATTTGCTAGTTCCTTAATTAGATCCATTAATTTAAATATGATTTAAATTTAAGTATTTATAAGCTCTGGCATCAGACTTGTCATGCTTTCCTCTGAGGATGATGTGCGTCTCCTCACCGAGTCTTATGCTATCACTTGTCGTTAGAAGGGGCCAAATCCTAACCTGCTCTACTGCTTCAGAATAATGATGATTCAGTCCTAGCTTAGAGTTGCATTTAGACCAGTAATGCTGTCTCCAAGAAGCTTCAGTTGGTCGTTACATATTAAATATATGTAAAAGAAATAAAACTGGGGAGACCTTGTAGAGATAAGTCTGCAATTGAGACAAGCTCCAAGCCTCTCTGGTGTTTTGAGTCAGGTTTATCTGGGATGAAATGTCAAAGAAGGTTGGTACGTTGCTAAGCCCACTCTGCAGGAAAGAGGCTCATTCACCAGAGAGGAGTCAGGCCCCTCGTGAATAGCACTCTAGTTCCTGTCCTGTTGATTCTTTCATGCCACTCCATATCCATAAAAGAGACCACCAATATCATGTGCAAAATTAGATTCCTCATACTTTTAACTGTACATTTGTATGATATTAAACAATCTCCTAAATGCTGGGCAATGGCTATTCACAATTGTCTTGCACTGGCCTGATAAAACGTTAACAATGCCTATTGTAATATAGACAAAACATTCTATCTACTGGTTTGGGCTGAATGTATGTAAATAGGTCTTTTAAAAAGTCAGATGTGTAAGCAGTGGTTTACAAATCAGTGATTTTTCAGACAGGAGATTTTCTTTCCATTGCTGTGGTATCCTAAAACCTCTCTTCATGTAAACTTATGGACTAAGTCTCCTGGGGATCAGAGTCCCCAAGAAAGAAAGCTTTTTTTCATGAAATAATAGGAATTGAGACACCAGATTATCTGGATTCTTATTTCCAGTGTTTCAAGTAGAAAACACAACTCTTTATTGTCTGTAAATCTAGTATTATTACTTTTCCTCTTAGAAGAATATTGTATTGTTAGATGTTTGTTGAGCCGGTAACATCCTTGCAACTGCTGTAATATCTTTGTTAGTAATGTGTATAATACTTTGTATACAAGTACTAGTAAGATTGTTACTAAATGTAGCTTCAGTCATTAAATTACTATAGCAAAGTAGTGCTTCTATAATATTTACGATGTATTAAGCTCACAGTATATTTTATTTTGTTGATGTAATTTAACTGTTATTTATTCAAGAGAAAACATCTTTCCATGTCTACTGTCCAAAGTTACCTGGAATCAAATAAACAGTCTAGATTATCATAAAGAATAGATGCCTTTGAATTCTTTTATTTCACAGTCTGACAGTGAAACACTAGGGATTTATATTCTAAAAGATGGTTGAACACTAATTTGTTCTCCCCAAAGCATTTATGACTTTGTTTAAAAAGTGTGGGGACAGACTGATTTAATGATTACTCATTTTCCAAGACAGAAAGCCATCATTTATATAATAGAACAAAAACAGCTGCACAGTACACCTTATTAAAGATTTTAATGATTTTGCACTAAAACCAAGTTACAATATGTTAATTACATTGAGATTGAGCCCTAGAGTTTATAAACATATATTCTGAACCACAAGACATAAAAACTTCTCAACATAGTTTGTAAAAATTCACAATGTTTCTATCTAAGAGTGAAAAATACAGTGCAGTTTAAATAGTTGTTTAAAACAAAATATGTTTACAGTTCATTTTTAAAAACAGGTCTTAAATTCCTCAAATGATAAGTATTTGAAAGTAGATAGTATTTGAAAGTAGAAAGAGAAAACCAGTTGAGGCATGCAGAAACTCCAATGTCCCCATGAATGATTCCAGAGGGAGAAATCATACCATCACCTCTAGCACATTCTTTAGTGAGATTTTCCTTGGTTGAAGGTGACACATGAAGTTATTAGCCCCACCTTGAATGACAGTGAGTGGATGCTTTAGATCATCATTGTTCCTCAACTCCTTGTCCCTGGAAGATTGATAAGGGGCATTGGGAATGGGTGCTCCTGGTTAGCTTAGAAGGTGCCAAAAATGTGTGAGGGTGGAGCTCAGAAAAATCTCAAAAGCACTGATCACTGGGCTGCTGTGGTAACCACTTCAGAG